AAAAAAAACCAAAAAAAACCTAAGAATTTCCTGCAATGACGTCTCGATTGGACCTGTGGCTTTGGGTTCAGGGGTTCAGGGTTTAGAGATAAGGGCGATGGTTTTGAGATGAAAGTTAAAGGGTTCAGGGTGCAGGTTTTCGGGTTTAGGATTGAAGGTTCTGTGTGGGCTTAGGGGTTGAGGGATCAGGGTTCAGATCAAGGCTGAGGTGATTTGATTAGTATTTCGGGGATTGTGCTTACCGACCGCCTTGGCCTGGCGCCCATTGATTTGAAATTTAGAGATAACGGTTGAGGATTTAGAGCTGAGTTAGGGGTTCAGTGTAACTGACAGTCCACACATTTTCGCCCGATCCGACGTCGCGTCGCACCACAGTCACACCAGCCAGCTCTCCACCTGCCAGCAGGGCTGGGCGCCCAGAAAGGGATCTGAATTGGCTTGCTTAGGGTTTAGTAAAGGGTCAACCGATTAATGATTAAGATACTCTGTTTAACCCTAAGCACTATTCTATTCTATTACAAGGGTTGCCTCGCAGCTTCGGCAGGGCAGGAGAGAACAAACCCTGCTTGGAGGGGCGGGGGACTTAGTAAGCAGGTGAAAAATTTTACAAGTAGAGTTATAAGTGTCCTAAATGTAGTTACCCTAATTATAACCCTACTCAGAACCAACTTACTGAGTCCCCCCCCCTAAGGGGCCCTTGAAGTAAAATCCAAATGCTGAAAGTCGAAGTCCTGGCAGGGGCTTATGGGTTCGACATCGCAGCTTCGGCGGGAAGGAAAAAACCCTAAATTGCAAGCTGAAAATCTACGTCCTGGTTGCCAAAGGCAGGTCAGGGCGGGAAGGAAAAAACCCTAAATTGAAGCCCAAATCCAAAAGCCTGAAACTCCAAGTCCTGCTTGCCCAAGAGGCAGGGGCTTATCGCTGTTTTTTCACTTGTGCCGTGAATACTTCTTCGGTTCCGGGAGCTCGGCCACAATTTTCTCCAGTTCTTTCAGCACATCATCTGGGATGTCGCCTGGAGTTTGAGGCTGCTGGCCTCTCTCAAGCGGGAGGTCCTGCCGCAGTTTCTCCCATTTGGTCCAATTCCAGAAATGGACCTGCTTCAATGCAGATTCCCACGTCGTAGACGTCGAGGGGCCAAAACTCCTGGTCATCGTCCTCTGGCTGTATGGTACTGGAAGCCGTTTTGAGCAATCAAGCTTGCATGAAGACGTCCACCTGTGGTCATTGCTGTTGAGACCAAAGAAAAATCCAGGAGGCTGCAGCTTGCCCAGCAGTTCATCAGGACTTTTGTGTATCTTCACAAAGCCCTTTCTTGAGGAGGCAGCTGCAGCTGGCACCCCGTCGGAAGATAATGCCACAGCATCTTCTGAAGCAACTGCTGGATTTGCAGATGACGAGGCGGATGGCGGCAGACATGGCAAAGCTGAATCTCGAGGTTCGTCGTCCTCAGGTTTAGGGTTTAGGGGGTCCTCGGCTGCCACAGCTTCAGCCGGTTCCGGTAGCGGTCGGGATGGCAAAGACGGCTCACTCGCACCTGGATGTTCGTTACCGCCGTCTGCCGGGGCAGACTCAAACGGTGGTGAGGCTGAGGGCTCAAGCGGAGAAGTCGGTGGATTCTGCCCCCTTCCTCTTCCCCGTTTAAGTTTACCTACTTTGAGGCCGAGAAGACCACGACCACGACCCTTCATGCCTTTCCCCCTTCCCCTGCCTGTTGTTGTCTTCTTTTTCGTCTGGTCAATAGGCACGTCAGCAGATGCGCTGTGCAGTTTTCTCTTCCACCTCTGAGCTTGCCTTTTCTTCTTGTACTCCGCCAACTCTTGCTGGTTGCCATCTTCCTTGTCTAACTCAGAGATAATTTCTGACAGTTGCGAATCGATCTCGTCATTGTCTTGTTGCTCAACCGCTCCCAACTGGTCCATTGCCTGCTTCTGTTCGTCGAGCGACACCAAGGCAATGCCGATGAGGATTTCCTGCAACCGTCGTTTGCTTGCAGCGGCAGTAGCCACACCTCCGAGCTTGGAGATAAGCTGCAGCAACTGAGACTTGGTCAGTTTCAGCCCTCTGAGACACAGAGAACAAGGCAAAGTCTGTGGATCCCCAGACCGCACCCAGCCAAGTGGCCCTCTGCTCTCGTTGACCAAAACAGGCTTTGTAGGAACCACAAGCCACTCATTGAAATCAGTTATGTGTTCCCACCCAACTGACCGAATGTCTGCACTGCACAAATACACAGTCAAGCCATTTTGTACAGTGGCCTGTGCTTGCCAAGCCAAAAAAGCACATGGTCCTGATGCCACCACCCTCATCAATCTGGCAGTGGGCTCGTGTGCGAGAAAGTCGCCAGGCTGCATCAACGAAGACATCCAAGAGGCATTGATGTTGCAGCCAGGAAATTTGCCCCTGAAGAAAGCGAAGGTCCATTCCTCAGACGAAACTTTGAAACCAGTAACTCAGTACGAAGTTTTGCCACAAAATTCAAACTGAGGACCGTAAATCCTACACTCCGAGCGAAAGCCCCTAAATTAAGCCCTAAACCCCGGCAACAGACCATTAAACCCTAAGCCCTAGACCCTAAACCAAAACCCCTACACCCTAAATCCTAAACCCTGAACCTTAAACCCTAAAAGAATATACTCTAAGCCTAAACCCTAAACTTTTTAAACCCTAACCCCTACACCCTAACCCCTACACCCTAAATCCTACACCCTAAACCCTAAACTTAAACCCTAAACCCTAAACCCTAACCCCAAACTGTTTAACCTAACAGAATGAAATTTAAGAAACTTGACAGAAGAATAAGAAACAAAAGAGATGGCCACATCACCAGGACTCAGTTGCTGTCACGGAGTGAAACAGGGAGGCGGGACTGGGGCTGGGCCACGTATGGTCTCGTTCCTTCTTCTGCATCATCATCTGCATGTCCATTGGGAGCTTGTAGCCCCTGGAAGTTAATTGTTTGGCGATTGGCGTTGTTCTGAAAGAGCTGTTTTGCATTGCTTTGTCACCAGGTGATGCTGCAACCACTGAAGTTTGTCTTTCTTCCAAGGCCCCTGAGGAGAGCGTGCTTGCAAATATCCTCGTGCAGCCAAAAGTTTCATGCTTCGAGGATCTGAGCAGGTCTCGGCCATGTTGGTGAGCGTTCTCAACAAGCCGTGAGTCTCCAAAATGTTCAGTCAGGACCGTGTGCAACCTGTGAGCAGCCCCCACAGCAAGGCAGGCACAGCCCCGCTGCGCGTCCTGCTCGTGGGCCAGGTACACTGCTCTCACCAATGGGTTTTTAGCCCAGAACATGAATTTCAGTGGCTCGATGTCTTCCCCTCCAGCTTGTGCACTTTCAGCAGCTAGCAAGCACTCGAAGTCTCGGCGGGCTTGCTGGTGGGCTTGTGAGGCCTCTGTGAAGACACCACTGAGAAGGTGGGCATACCGGAAGGGCGGCAAGCAGTAAGAACTCGTCAAGGACATGGCTCTGCTTTCCAGCAAGTTTGTCAGCAGCTCGTCGTGCCATTGGAGAGCGTCTTCATGCAGCCTCCAGTTCGGAAACAGGTGTCTCAAGGTGTCCTCCCTCCACAAAGAGTTCTGCATTGTCTGCACCAGCTCCAGTGCCCATTCTTTCTTGCCCGCCGCCAAAACATAATGCTGAGATATTTGACCGGGAGTTTTGAGAAGTCGTGCTCGCTCGGATGCCATCTTCCACATAGCACGACCACAACTCATCATGATGTCTTTCTTGCATACCAGAGATTCTGTTATGAGGGTGGGGGCAAGCTGCCAGCTGCCTCGTCTCTTTTTTAAGGCATTCAGTTGTGCTCGGTCATCATTTATGCTGGCTTCCCCCGAAGCTTCAGGAATCTGCAGTGGCCGCACGTCGGCCTCGTCAGGCTCCTCCTGAGCTGCTTTGGTCTGCAGTACCATCTTGGTCATGAAAAAGTCGCCAGCCCATTCCGTGCAGCCTTGGAACAAGCCAAACCACCGCATCAATTTTATCAGGCTGCCCTTGCTGACACAGTTCTGCAGGCCGGCAACGGAGTCGAACAAGCGTTTTGACTCCTCAGCACTGCCAGGTTCATCAATATATCTTTCGGAACAGACCAAAGGCAAAAATTTGTCCCACGTTTGGCCATTGAAGGATTCGGTGGCAAGGAATGTGCTAAGCAGTGCACGTTTCTTGTAGTGAAATTGGCTTGTACCAAATGGACCGTACGACAAGTTCATCAAAAGGACCAATTCCAGAACACATCTCCACATCTTCGAACAAGTCCTCTTGCATGAGTTTTTGAAATCGTTCCAGCATCTGTGGTAGAAGTCCCAGATACAAACCAGGAGATGGCTCTGCTTCGACAGCATCATGTAGTTTAAGGCCGACGTATTAATCGGTCCTTGGTCTGATATACCTGAGTGGGGTCAGGTTGGATGGGTTTATAGACATTGTACAAGGATGACGATGAGGGTTTAGGGTTTAAGTGTAGGGTTTAAAATAAAAAAACACTTGCCTCACCTACACAAGATGGTCTCACCCCAGCCTAAACACCGAGTATCCCACACCGAGCCCAATAAGGGGCCAAGATTCTGATGAAAGCGGGGATTTGTCCCAGATCATAATCCTGTGGGACTTCTGGTCTGGCCGTTTCGGTCTTCTCGTCGTAGATCCAGGCTTTGCCACCATCGTCAACGAGTCTGTATTCATGAGACA